TTTCATTTTGGGTTTCTGAGGGCAAAGGTCTGATACCAAGAAAGTCATGTTAACTTCTCGAATCTGTTGGAGGTCATTCTCCCACCAGGACCAGCGGGACAAGGGAGAATCTTCCCCAGGGACCATGATCCGGGGCAGAAGGGACTTCAGGCAGGAAGGCAGAGACCACTGCAACTTAATGCAGGACTAGAAAGGCCCTCAGGGCCCGCCACAGGATAGAGAAGTAGAGAAAAAGACACAGGATGGGAACTGAGCAGACCGCAAGGCCATGAGCTTCCCTTGAAAACTGTAAGGAACCTGGGGCTTGAGGAAGTGAAAGCACGGAGACCAAACGGAGCCCACATTCAATTCAGTGTGAGGGCGAAAGAATCCAGGGACCAAAGGTCGTGTGGCAGTTCAGAGGATTGAACTCCAGGGCGTGGACATTGAGTGGGAGGAGAAAGAAGCATCTGGGTAGTTATGGGACTCTGTGTGCACATTTCTAACTTTTGTAAGAATTCATCAATATGACTCTCTGAGATAGTTTACTGTCAATAGCTTTTGGGTTTGTTTTTCCCCCAAGGATACGAGACACAGAGTCTCAGCAGCCCTTTCAGAAGGATGTTTCTCTTGGCCAAGACAAAGTCCACATGCCGGCTCCTTCTGATGACTGCAAAGCTCTGACTGTTGTGCTGGCAAAGCTGAAGCCAAGGAAACACTGTGCTTCTTCTTTTCCTCCATCTGTCCCTGCCTCGCCCAAGGGTCTCCACATCCTCTAACTTTCTGGGGTGAAACTCTCCTTTAACATTCAAATAATACACCCCCACCGCCTATCTCCTGCACTGCAGAAAGCTCAGGCTCTTCCTCAGAATTCCCACGGATTCCCGGGGCCTTGCTTCCTTCTGGACGCCTCTCGCCACCGCATCCCAGCTGCTCCCTCAGCCACTGAGCTCTCCCACCCTTTCCCTTCTGGGAGCGGCTGTGCTCTCTGCATAGGCTTTCCCCTCGTGCAAACACTGTCCTGGGTATTTATGCCCCAAAGAAAGTGGCATGAGAGCCAACATAGGTCAGTCATCAATAAATTTTAGGCATCGGTGATAAATCTCCCAAGTCATGGAGTTGTCTCCATGACTACATTCTTCTCTAGAACTGAGTTGCTGCGTTTCTGGGGCTCATCCATCCTCTCCAAGCAGGTTTTTCTCCCCACCTGCAGTCAACTATAAGTTTCCCCTACTCATTTAGTAGAGCAGGTCAGCTCTACTTATTTAGCTCCATCTTCCGACCTTTAGGGTAGAGGGCTCACGTTTTTAATCCAAGTGGCCTCACAAGACGCTTTCCTAACAGACTTCTACTCTAAGATGATCTGTCCAGCTCTACCCTAAAATTCAGACATAGCTTCAGCCATTTTTTTCATTCTTGCTCAAATGCTAGTAACGACCTGCTTTGGGCCGTGGTGCTCACAGCCTAGCAGGATTGTCACTTTGGTTGAAAAGAACAGCCTGGTGCTCATACCCACAGCCACCACAGTGGCTGAAGATTGGCTGACATTCTCTACATTTCACAAGCGTGGGCCTGATGTACAGATATGTCTATGAATTCTGTTGACAACACTAAATTTTAGAAAAGAGAGATATACAAGAGACTTAGGGTTGAAATTAATGAGGGTACTGCCTCAGATCCAGAAGGGAAAGAGAAATAGAGTGTCCTATTGCCAAAACAGTCACTGCCTCTTCCTTTTGGGCCTCTCCCTGTGGGGCATCATATGCCTACCTCATTGAGTTCATGGCCACCTGACTTTCCTTGGGCATTGAAATGATGGAAACAATATGGTCTCTCTGAAGCAGAAGCTTTAAGAGTTATTTTGTGGTGCTTCCATCTCTCTTTTATTTCTCCCTCTGTCTTAAGGCTGACATGCCCCGGATGGGGCTGCTCGTTCAGCCTGGGTCTTAGAATGAAGAGATGAGCAGCAGAGATGACCCACGACAGACATGGATACGAGACAAACAAATCTTTGTTGTGTAAGCCACTAAGATTTTGATATAACTTAGCATGAGCTGATGGACACAATGATGTTATATTTTGAAATTTAATTTCAGCCAGAAAAGGAGACTTTCATCTGGGTGTCTTATTTATACAAAAAGACAAATCTTGTGTTTTATGGTACTAGTATAACTAATATGGCTACACCATTAATTGTTGCTCACTAAATAACCTTCTCAAGCTAGTGAGGATGGACTACATATCTGGGCCATAATTCAAAATAGCAAAAAAGAGAGTTTTCATCCTAGGATTAGGGGACTCTAATTAATGCCCTTTCCTGACAGATTTCAGAGGCTTCTGCGGGCAGCAGCAGAACTGCCTATCTCATTGACAGTGGTCAATGCTGGCCACCCTTGTCTCATCTCTGCCTTTGAAGGGGCAGTCTCGCCTGGTTGACACAAGTTTACCTGTTGGGTCCAGGGAGACAATGGAAAAAACTAAAAGCAGGAAAATGATCTCTTCAGGGAAGGGTTACTAATCTGAGGGACCAGGCACCTGGACACCATTGGGCCCTATTTCCTGGTGAAGGGAGGCTGTGCATTATAGCTAAAACCCAATCATTTGGTTCTCTCTTAATTCCTTTCTCTTGCATTGAGACAGTGGGTCAGAAACAAAACTCTTGAGAAGGAAATCATGAGAGACACACTTAAAGGACAAAGCATGGACCCTCAAAAAGGCAGAGAAAGGAAGGCTGGAAAGGAGGCGGAGTGGCACAGAAGCTGAGGGAAAAGAGTTTCAAGAAGGAGTGCACGATCTCCAGGATCAGAAATAGCAAGGGCTCAGGCAGAAGATATCTAAAAACCCTACTAAGCTTGGCAACTTGGGAGGGCATGTCCTTTTCCAGAACCTTTTCCAGAACTCAGGAGAGTGAGTAGGTTAGAATCAAATTACAGTGGGGTGGAGAGAGAATGAAACAGTGACCCAACCACTCCACCTCACTTGCTGAAGAAAGTGAAGGCAGCCCACTTAGACCATGCTTGGAAGAGACTGGCTGAGAAAAATGGGAAAAACACTAGTGACTAGAGGTTAACTCGAGGATGAGGACCAATAAGGCCAAGGGATAGAAGTATTTCACATTTTCCTGTGACGCCTATATTTGTACGTTTACTATACCTGATGCTGTTTACTTAAAACACCAAATATTCATAAACCTTCTTGATAATCCAGTTCCTTTCACTCATCCCTTGATTCCTACTCTCTATTCCTTGCCCTAGAAACACACACACACACACACACACTCACATACATGCACACTCACACACGCACTGACGCACACACACACGTACAGCCACACCTGCGTGCACGCGCACACACGTGCACGCACACTGAGACAACTGTGTGCATGACCAACCAGCTGCCCTTAGGGAGAATGGTTGCTTGGCCTATCCTTAGATTCCAGGCCATCAGGATCATACCCAAAGCTGCAGGAAAGAGGAGGAGTTGGACCTGGAAAACTTGGAAGGAAAAGTCCAACTGTGCAGGTATTTGGTCAGGCATGTGATTTCAGTGTAAAATTCTAGAAAAGATGAATGGCACTTTACAAGGAATGGAAATCAATGGCACTTCTCAGTTTATTTCTTGCTACGATGACAGCTGGAACTGCGAAAACAGAGGAGACTGGCAAACTTCACTCTCAGGAAGGGGTGAGGGGTAGGAGCAGGGAGGGGCTGAGGCTCCCCGGAGGCACTGGGCCATCTTCTCGGGTTTTACTCCCTCAGGAAGGCGCAGGCTTCCAGAAGTGCTGTGGGACACAACAAAGCAGGAGATTCAGAAACTGATTTCCTTTTTCTTGAGTCAATAAATCAAGGAGGATACTAAAACAAAGACTTTCTGCTTGCCCTACTCACACTTCCCCACTGCCCCTCCTCCCAGCAGCTGCAGGGTCCCAGGAGGCACAGCAGCTCTGGCCTCACCACCCAGGGTGTTTCTCTGCTCTGGCAGGAGTGACACACCCTCCACCCTACTTGTCTCTAACTGAGTCAACCAGCCCCACTCTCAAGTTCACAAGACATTGATGGCCCTCTAACTTCTGCAATGTGAGCAATTAACCACATAGTCTTCATGCAAATCTGTTTGCAACAGTGTTCACCTTCTCATTCATTCATTCATTCACAAATACTTGCTGAGCCCCTGCTTTGTGTGAGTCACTGTGCTAAGTGCTGGGGATTCAGCCCAGACAGACAGGCCCTGCTGTCAAGGGGCATATAGTCTATGCAGTCGTGAGCTGGCTGCTTACAGGCATAGCTCCACAGCTGCATTTCTCCAAGGATAGTCCTGGAACCACCGGCCTCACATTGCCCTGAGGTGTCGGTGATATAGAGCAGGGTTTCTCAACCATGGCACTATTGACATTTGGGGTTGGGGAATACTATGTTGTCAGGGCTGTTCTGTGCTTTCGGAGCACCCCTGGCTTCTACCCACAGATACCAGCAGCGCCGCCTAAGTTGTGAGAATCAAAAATATCGCCAGGCTTTGCCAAATGCCCCCTCGGGCGGCAAAATCAGTTGAGAACCACTGATACAGAGATTCTTGCCCCAACCCCCATCCCTGGACCACCACCCCCTCAATGCCTCCGACTCCCTGGGTGAGGGGCCAGGAAGAGGAATCTGGACGAAGCCGGTGCATGCTGAAGTCTGAGAACCATCACCTGGAGCCTTACAACAATTTGCGATGTCTTGTAAATGTTTTAAAGGGTTAAATTATTGTCATTACCTTTTCCCGGCTAAAATGTTTTTGAGAATTTGCATTCTCAATAGTTGGTATTTATGGTAACTGTCTAGAAACCAGAATTTGTCACTTCTCAATACATATGTATATATACTTATGTACATGCATGTATATGTACACATACACACTTGATTTTACTGAATAAAATGAATAAATAAAATAAAATGAATGAAATGAATGATCAGTTTCTAAAACATCCATGACAGTCACTATCAGCATTATAAAAATTTAGCATATTATCTACTACTTTATTTTATTCTCTAATTCTTTCACCTCATCAATGAGATTTTAATTTCCTGAGGCACAGAGATATTATATTGCCTTAACATCTTTATACCCATCTTCATTCCTAGAATGCTGTCTGGCCCTCCAACCTTGACCTTCACCCATGGTTTCTCAGCAACACTATCTATGGTCCACTTACGGGAGGTTGAGCATTGTCTCAGGTTAGCGACGGCCGTGACATAGTTTGATCCCAAATATTGTTCGTACGTTGTTTTGCCTTGGAGCTCAGCCAGACATTCAGTGTTGTCATTGAACAGAAGGTTTTTGGTTTCAGACTGGAACAAGCAAAACTTGCCTGGGCAATCCTGTCCATTTCTTCCAAACAGTTTCTGTGTCAAAGGGGCAGACAGTAAGTGAGTAGCCAAAGAAAAGAGGAGAGTTTACGGATTAGGGGAGGCCAAGGACATTTCTTCCATCCAGAATCAGCCCTGGGAAAACTGTGGGCAAAAGGAGCTGAGTCCTCGAGTTGTTCAGCCGCCTCGGCTGGGTGTTCCCCTGCCCCCTGTCCTCCTGCTGCCCAGGCCCCAGGTGGCAGACCTACCCAGTGCAGCACCCAGGCCCCTCACCACTTCTGATCTCACCTCCTGCCATCTTTCCTTTCTTCTTAGTTTGTGGCCTCTTCCCTTAGAACTTCTTATGAGTGACTAAGTGACAGCTGAGGATTTTTGAGATCTGCCCCAAAAGTTGATCACCTATAGCATTCTAACAGGCCAGCTCTCCCAAAGAGGCAGTCTGCATTGAAAATCATCTCTGCCACTGACCACATCATTGCCTTGGGCAGGTCACTTAGCCTCCTTGGCCACAGTTCCTCCTCCCTGCTCAGGGCTCCCGCAGGGGTGAGCTGTAAGAACCAGGCACCTCAACGACGGGAGCCCCAGTGAGCGTGTCACACTGAGGGCTCATAAATGCCAGTTTGGGGCCTATTATTACCATTCCAGGGCCACCATCTTTAAAGCACACCTAGAGAAATGATGTTTTAATAGAAAACTAGAAGCTCTAATAGAGAATCACAGACTTTAAGGAAATTGTAGGATTTCCTTCAAACCACTTCACATAGAGAGCCTTAAATCTATAAAAGTTCTGGGTTTGCTGCTTTTAGAGATTACAAATGCAGGGCTTTGTCTAGAACATTGCTCAGTTGGCCCAAGCTCAGGAAACACCATCAGAGTAACCACTCTCTGTGCAGGCGCTGTGGGAGGAAGGCTCAGTAGCCTCTCTCATTTGCTTGAAGAACAGAGGGAGAGACGTGGAGAGGAAGCGTCTCCGAGCCAAGCAGTGGGCACAAGTCCAGGGGTATGAGACTCCGGGCAGAAGTTAGGTCAGTCCCAGAAAGCCCAGCATCAGAAGCCTCTGTTGTCCTCATTGAGGCTCTGGGCAGCCCCCTGGCACGAAGCAAATACTGTCACCAGCAGCTTAAAGCATAAGGACTAGAAAGAATCACCTCACTCTGTGATTATCCCAGGTAACAGGAGCCCATGCAGTTAAGAAAGGGCAGGAGGCCCTGGTGGTCCACACCTGTTGGCGGAGCAGCACCTCTTCCACGTGTTTTGCCTTATCATTCCGAGATACCACAGCATGATTTGGGGCCCTGGCCAGGTGGCAGTCCTCAGCCTTAGTCACAGCCTTCCGGGTGCCATCAAGACACAGCAGCTCAAAGTCCTCCAACTTCAAATCCCTAGCCCATGGTTCAGGGCTGTTTCCTGGGGAGAGAAAGAAGGTGGCATCAGCCACGGCTGCTCAGCTTAGTCAAAAGGTCTTTTCTGGTTGGGTGTGACGATCCAATGGCCTCTTGAGTCGCACACACTGGGGTTGCATGTAAAGGATGGGATGTAAAGTGATATAAAGGAGAGAGACGGAAGCTTTGCACAAGCTATCCAAACTTCAAATACAGCCAACGTTAGTGCTGTATTCACACAATGGAATAGAATTCAGCCATAAAAACGAGTGAAGTACTGAATCATACTACAACCTAGATGAATCTTGAAAACATGATGCTAAGTGAAAGAAGCCAGTCACAAAAGGCCAGATATTGTAGGATTCCATTTACGTGAAATGTCTAGAATAGGCAAATCTACAGAGACAGAAAGTGGATTGATGGTTGCAGCTCTTGGGGGAGTGGGGAAGTGACTGCTAATAGGTGCAGGGTTTCTTTATGAGATTATGTGAGTGTTCTAGAATTGGATTTTGTTGGTGGTTGCACAACTCTGTGAATGTGTTGGAGACCACTGAATTGTATACTCTGAGTGGGTAAATTTTATAGTATGTGAATTGTATCTCAATAAAGCTGTTAAATTTTCTTTTAATTTTTAAAAAGGAAACCCTCTACCTGTGCCATATTTTCCAGTGGGTTCCAGAAAAAGAATAGTTGGTTTATGTTTAAGAAGAAATTGTTTTCTCCTTCCTTTCATATTCAAATACTCTTAGTATAACTAGAGAAAGGCTAGGAACTTCTATGGGTTTATCAAACGTGTTTAGTCAATTCCAATAACATACAGTTGTAAAATCCTAGAGAAGCTTAAAATTAAATTTGACATCAATCTGGTCCCTGGAGGTCACTTAAATTAACGGTTCATAAATTCAAGATGTAATCGTATGCGTGTCTGTGTGTGGGCAAATACAGGTTCATTGTTCAAGCCCCTGCTTCTCCCCTTCTGCCCTCTCCCATCAAGAAAACACTTCTTCCATTCTCATGGCTTTGTCTATTTGATATTGAGATCATTCCACATTTATATGTCTGGCCTCAATGCCTCTCCCAAGAGACGTGAGGAGAGAGGAGCGGCTGTGACTATTGATACCTTTGAAGGAGGGAGGCGGAAAGTTGAGGCAGTTCTTTCTTAGGTGATGAAGTGGGAAGTCATGTGGTGAGAAGGAGGGGTGGGGAGGCTGAGTGGGGACTAAGGAGAGAGGTGCAATTTGGAAGGTGGCAAATGGCTAGGAGTCTTGAATTTGGTCATTCTTATTTGCATCTAGAGATCAGAAGAGAGAGTGATTACTCAACATTAGCTGGTAGGTTACCTTTCGTCATCTGCATCTGCCTGTGTTTTGTCCCGGTTAACTCCCAAGGAGTTTCCAGACAAGGGCTCACATGAGGCTGAATGAAGGCCCCTACCTCCTTTTTTAAAAAGGGAAATTTTATTTGCATATGTTCAAATTTTTTTTTAGTATCATTCACAGTTTCCCTTAGTCAGGGACAGGCAGATGGTGCACTTCTGGGTTGACAAGACAAAGCCAGGGAGACATTTGCTACTGAGTATGGCTGGTGTGTGTGTGTGTGTGTGTGTGTGTGTGTGTGTGTGTGGCAGGAGCAGGGGCAGGGAGAATTCATTTTCAAAATCAATGTGACACCTATAGATGTTACCACTTTGCATACTAAGGTAAAAAAAATTTAGAATTAACTTGATCAAAAGTCTGGAAAAGGGTATGATAGCTTCCCAATTGCAGATCTGAATACTAGGATGTGTTGTGATGCCAAAGACTCTGCTCTGAAGGGGAAAGGGAAACATCTTCACTCACCGTTAGTGTTCTGCAGGACAGTGACATCTTTCACAAATGCAACGTCTCCAGCTTTCTCAGCCAGGCACCTAAAATGTTTCAGAAAATAAACATGTTGCCAGAGAAGGGAAACTATTAGAGTTTTCATAAATATCTATAATATACATTCCAAAATATGAAACATGAAGTTAAACATGGAAAAGATAAAGATAAATATTTTTAGGAACTTATGGTTTAAAATGGAAGATTGAACATACATGTATACCTTCCCTCCTAAAATCCCAATAAATGACATTAAAGAGATTTTTTAAAAGTCAAAAGCCTGGGCCGGCTCCGTGGCTTAGCGGTTAAGTGCGCGCGCTCCGCAGCTGGTGGCACGGGTTTGGATCCTGGGCGCGCACCGAAGCACCGCTTGTCCGGCCATGCTGAGGCCACGTCCCACATACAGCAACTAGAAGGATGTGCAGCTATGACATACAACTATCTACTGGGGCTTTGGGGGGAAAAATAAATAAATAAAATTTTAAAAAAATAAAATAAATAAATAAATAAAAGTCAAAAGCCCATGAGGGGTTGGGGCAGGGGGGTTAGGTAATAATGATAATGTTTGGAAGTTAGAGAACAACTGGATGAGCAGTAATTGAACGAGCAGAGCAAAGAAAGCTGTCTCTGGAGAATCTGATCCACTCAAGGAAAATACCTACAGATTCTGATATTTGAATGTCCCACAGTAAAATGACACAAACCAACTGCCCTACAGTGAAACTCATACTCATCAAGATGTGGCAACAGATGCAGAGCTAATAGTCAGCCCTGGTGCTTCACTCTTAAATATGGACAAGCAGTCAGAGACCATCGGATATTTGAAGAAATACCAGAAAAGATGGAAACCAAAGCAATTATACTCAGAAGATAGAGGCAATAAAGGAGGGAGAATAAAACTTTTTAAAAAGACTAAAATTGATATCATTAAAGAGATGAAAGAAAGGCAGCATTCATAAAACAAGAATAGGAAGCTCTAAAACAGGAGCAGTCAGAATACAAAACGAATTCTTAGAAAGTAAAAAATAACAATCAAAAAGAATTCTTAAAAAGTAAAAAATAAAAAAATTCTTTAAAATGATATAATGGTTAGAAGACTAAACTGAGCAAATATCCCAGAAACTAGAAGATAAAGAGGAGATAATAAAAAAGAAATAATAAGAAAATGAGATGATAATCCAGGAAGGTCTACAATTTAAGAATTAAAGTTTAAACAGAAATCAGAGAAAACAGGATGGAAATTATCAAATAAATAATGAAGTAACATTTCCCAGAATTGAACAACTTGAGTTTCCAGATGAAAAGGGCCTGCCAAGTGCCCAATCTATTGAATTTTAAAAAGACCCACATAAACAAATATCATTGTAAAGTTTCAGGACACTAGAGATATTATTTTTAAACCCAAAAACTTCTCAAGAAACTAGTTTTCAAAGCATTTTACATTTGATGAAACCCAAAAGTCATTTTTCCTAAAGAGTATTCATTGTAAAATCTCTGTAAATTTAGAGAGAAATATCAATCATATGTGTCTGATTTATTTACTCTTCACATATATTCTTTGTGTGACTTGTTTGTCTAAGACACTTCATAAGCTTTAAAAGCTTATTCTCTCAGAATTAGGAAGCCAAAAATAAATTGTTGAAAACTCAAAAAAATTTTTTTCAAGAAGAAAGAAAGTCATATACAAAGAATCAGAAATCAAAAATGGTATCAGATTTCTCAACACTCTAAATTTAGAAGACGATTAATGCTTTAAAATTTTGTTTGCTATATTTTCTGTCTCTCTGTGTTATATTCTGGATTAATTTTTTTTACATATCTTCCACTTCACTAATTCTCTTTTTAGCTATGTCTAATCTGTTAAACTGGTCAATTGCATAGCTAATTTCAATTGCTGTATTCTTTTTTTTTTTCTAAAAGTGTTATTTATTCCTTTTGAAAAATACTAACTTGCTTTTTTCTGCTGGATTTTGCTTTCGATGACTTTTTTCCCTGTGTGTTTGGTTAATATTATTATAATGATTATAATAATTATTATTATTTAAGTATAATTTTTACTGTGTACTGCAAGAGTACTTCTTGAAAGAGTATTTCTGAGTGGTATTTGAGGCCTAACCTGAAGATGCTGTCTTCCAGATAGGTTCCTAGAGGGACCACTAGTCTGGGACCACTTTAAAAAAAATTATGAGTTGAATATTTCTGGACTATTCTAAGGTACACAAATTTGAGCTGCAAATCCATGCAAGAGCTGGCTCATGGTTTCAATTTCTCAGAGTTGGTGTGTATTTTCCTCAGCATCCAGGCAACTTGAAGCCCCCTGGGAGAAGGCATGGAAGTTACTTCTAGTTCACTCTTACCTTAAAGATGTATGTAACCTCTGGGTTCAAGTCTGTCAGAATAGGTAAATGCCCTCAGGACAGCTCCACTTAGCTCTCTGAATTCCTATCCTCCCTTAGATTTTAGTCTAATAATCCCTTATTACTTTGTCAGTTATTCGATGTTCTTAAGAACGTGTGTGCATGTGTATGTGTGTGTGTGTGTGTGTGTACTTAATCCAGCATTTTTGCTTGTTTTTAGTGTGACAGTTGGTCAAAAGAGCCTAATGCTGCCATTTCCCAGATATGGAAATCCTGTCAAAATTCCTAGTGAAAATGCTCTCCAATCTACACTCAGTTATCCAACCAAACTATAAGTCATTTCAAGAGTAGAAAAAAGATGTCTGCAGACATGTAAATACTATAAGAACAGCAACTCCTATTCACCCTTTCTCAAGAAGATGTGTTCTGTTCCAACAAAACCAAGAAAGCTAAAGATATGGGATCCAAGAAACAGGCAATTAAACATGAAGTAAAACAAAGGGAAATCCCAGAATGATGGTCAAGGGGAATCCCAGGACCACAGATGTGCAGGAGGCCTAGAGGGCACCAGTCCAGAGCAGGCCAGGAGGATGGAGGTCTTCAGGAGCAACATTCCCAAGTAAATGATGAAACTAACTGTACCCACTCTGTTTGCGTATGCATTGTCAAGAGATTTACATTACTGGTAGAGGGTTTTGAGATGAATTAGTGATTTTGTTAAAAAGCACAGAAAATTAAACAAATAAAAAATAAGACACCTATTAACTCTAGAGTAAACAAAAACTTTGTACTATAAGGGAAATACAATCTTATTATGCCACATATTTAATACGAGAATAATATTTATATATTCATAATAATGTAAGCCCTGAATATGACATCATCTTGTTGGGTAGTAAAAGGAGGTGAAGTTTGTGGCTGAGGGGTGGAAAAGGCACAGGAGCGGTATGAGAGGCTAGATCTTCTTCTTCTACAACAGAAAGTCTGCAGAAAATCGCTGACAGTTAAAAATTTAAAACCAGCAATATAAGGATGTCAGTTAGAAATAGAGAGATAAATAGGACTTCTGGTTCCAGCTTTCAATTTGAAGAAAAGACAAAGCATTTTCTTCTAGTATAAATAGGAATACTTAAGTTAGGTGTTTCTAGTGAAATAATACCTTGCCATAGGTTTGGAAAAAAAAGAAAACAACATTATTCCTTTGGGTTTTTATTAGACACGTGTCTATTCGATATTTCTGAGTGGAATCATATAATAACTTTTCCATTTGAAAATCCTTAGTCTATTAAAGGTATTTTTGTACATTCACAATTTTTTTATGAGTCACTTGGAGTACAGTAAAAGCTATCCCATTAACGGAAAGAAGGCTACTGAATTTATATTAAAAAGTTCAAAGACCACAGTTCGGCCACCGTCATTCTCAGATACATGACACCATCTGGTGGTGAAATATATTCATGAAGAATGGAGGAAAAGGGATTGGGAGGACTCTTAGTGCCCTCAAACCACTAACAGTACCGCTGAGGAGCAACGCCTGGATGAATGGGATTGTAAAATGTAGGTTGTAGATAGTTACTGTGAATCACTAAGTGGTTACAATTGGTGAATTCTGAAAGCTTATTTTTTGGTTATTTTTCACTTCACCACTGAAGAATAACATGGCAACACTGCTTTCCCTTTGCCATTTCTAAGGCTAAAATCAAAGAAAGAAGCGAAAAATAAGACATAATAATGATCCAGATGCGGGGAGAGAGTGGTGGCTATGGAAGAGAATTCTTCCCCATAAAACTGAACTGTAGAAAGGACTTAAGATACCACACACTCTACCCATTTGGCTTTGAGGGGAGGACATGAGGTCCACTGAGGTTGACTTTCGCTCTGGGCCACAGGGAAGAGCCCAGCAGAGCTGAGGTCAGACAGCCCTGGTGCCAGCTTCCACTCTCGAGTGGTGGATTTGGTGGGAGGAGCCCTCAGTGGTGCTGCCCATTAGCTGACCCTGACTCTGCTGTGACAGGCCACATCTGGCCCCTTGGAAATGCAGCACCAAGATGCTGGAGGATGAGGGACAAGGCCCTATCCTGGTGAAGCTTGGCCGCAGCACTCACCTGAAAGCCCCAGTGTAGCCATAGTATCTCTCATTGCTGTTGGGCACGCACTTGTCCTCGCCCCTATCATTGCCAATACACAGTGCACAGAGACTGGATGCCGGGTCAGATCCAGGGGCACAGCTTTGACTAAAGTACTCATCTGCAGAGAAGGAACGTGGGAAGTCAGTTCTTCCTACCTGAGTCAACGTAAGAACCTCTACCTAACAGGTGACACAGCTGGCTTTTGATTCATTACATTGCCCAAGACAGATAGGATACAGTCTCTGTCAAAAGGAGTGACATGTTACCACCAACCCAGGACCCACCAGAAATCAGAAAAGCTTCAGACTGTAGGCACTGACTGGGAGTCTGACTGGGGCTGGGGAAGAGAGTCTGTGACTACCCAGAGGGTCCCGTCATCACAGCCTTGAGCTGGGGACTCAGGTGATGAACTTGAAGGCCATCTGCAGCAGAACCTGCTGGTTGCCTACTCCAGGATCTGATTTCCCCTTTTCCTCGGTAATGGAAAACCTGCTTTTTACCTGGGCACTTGGTCCCTTAAAGATTAGCTTTATCAGATGCCCTGTGGCTAGTACAGCCAGGTGGCTAGGGACTGGCCAGTGAAATATGAGCAGGAGTGTTGGGTGCCAGCATCTTGGAAACATCCTTAAAGCACAGTTGGTACACACCTTTTGCCTCTTCTCCTTCCCTTCCTTCATCCTGCAATGGAATGAAGACGGGGACCGGACCTCCAGTTGTGACATGGGCCATGTGATGACCATGGGCATGGAAGCCACATATGTCAGAGTAGCCAGATGTTTGAAGCCCAGGTCCCTGACACTCTGTTGTCATCATACTAGCTCTGGACAATCCACCTCTTCACTTACATGAGAGAGAAATAAACTTACGTCTTGTATAAGCCTCTGCTATTTGGGGTTGTCTGTCCTTGCAGCTGAACCTAATCTGAACTAATCCATTGTATGGTTTAACTCACATGAGGGAGTTAACATGGATTAATACAGGTTAAGGAGAGGAAACAGAGAGCCCTGCCTCGATAAGCAAGTAGCACCCACTGTCAGACTCGTGCAGCCCCTACACTGGAAGAGCCACACCACGTGCCAATCTTGGGAAAGGGCTGTGGTCCCGGCAACTTCCCCACAGCTTGGAGGCAGCTGAGGGGGGTTGGAGAGAGTGACAACCGTGTGCATTGCTGGTAAGGAGCAGAGTCACAAGCAAGCCTGCCTGAGCCAGGACCGCAAACCCATTCAAAGTGCAGCAGGACCCCACTCAAGGAGATGCCTGCACAAGAGGTGAGCCACGGTGAGAACGTGCCACACACCACGTCACCAGGCCCACAGCAGGTAAGGCATGGCTTATGCATGAGAAGTGAGAGTGGGGTGTGGCAGGGAGAGAAGGCCCCAGAAGGAGGTTCAGCCAGAACCCTTGAGGTCTTATTCGGTTTCCCTTGCAGTGTGGAGTAAGAAGTCAGTCCTATCTAGTAAAAGAAGTCATCCATCAGGAGGTAGGCTGGTGCCTTTTCCCAAATTAGGAAGCCAGCGCCTGTGAGGAATTTCCATCTGGAGCTCAAAGAGGTAAAAAATAGTATTTATACTTCTCAGAACCTGCATCCATTCTTAGGGTGCAGAGGATCAGACTGATATTCCAGCGTTTTACCTAGGCGTGGGGTGGATGGGGCATGGGAAGTGTTGTGTGGAGAACCACTCAGTGCATCCATGACTAGAGGAGGCAGCCACAGGGGGAATTTCTTATACCCAGAGAGGCTGCGGGTCACAGTCAGCCTGCAAATCCCCGCCCCCTCCCTCCCTTCCCTGAAGTTCCACAGCTCCATGTGTCTACCCCCCAGGATGGCCCACCCATGACAACCTCAGGAATCCTTACCAAATCTGCAGGAGCGTCTCTGGTTGAAGAGCAGGCCCATGGGGATGTTCCAGCCTGCGGTCCTGTCCACAGCAGTGTGGCAGGACTTCTTGTCTCTCACAGAATTCCAGGTGATGTCGGCATCAGATTTCCTGACAACTGCCACAGCCAGATACCCTTGGATGACAGAAGAGCAAGTCTTAACCACCAGGGGGCCTGGGATACAGACTCTGGTGCAGCTGTCTATAACCCGGGCCAAAATAGGCCAAGAAGCATCGCCAGCAATGATGCCCCCAGATAAGAGGCCACTGTCAGGTCTACCAAAAAAGCTTAAGCTGCTGCTCTACGGTAAGGTGAGACTGATCTGGGCTATGAAATGAAATAGGAAGAAAACCTGACACTTTAAGTGATTGCTGGGGACTGTTGTTGACCAGCCACACACTGTCCCTGAGTTATAAACCAGGAGTTCACCTTTAGATGAAGGCCACTAAAGCAACAAACAGTGAATAAGAAGCATGACCCCAACAGTGCATAAATCACCAGCTGCAATATGCATCAGGCCAGAGCAATGACAGCCACCAGACTGAGTGCTGTGTGGATGCAGGGGGTGTGTCTCCCTGTGCTGAGTCTGAACCAGCCCTGCACTGTGAGAGGGTCAGGGTGGTGGCAATCCTCCCCCTGATAGAGTAAACCCAACAGACCCCTGCTGTGGGCAAGTGCCGAGCTCTTGTGAAGCTGAGCAAGCACCAGCTCCGGCGGGCAGGTGGGAGTGGTGCACAGAGCCTGGGATTTAGCATAGGAGGCCCTGGTTCAAGGCTGGAATCTACCACAGTATCATCTACGGCTGTGAGTGAGATCCTGGGCACTTCGGGAGACTCTCTGGGCCACTGTTCCCTCATCTATATGAGATGGGATTAACACCCCTCCTTCTGCGTGGCCAGGACACAATGAGAAACTCTGACAGTTCTCTGTCAAGTGTGAAGATCGACATAAACATTAACTATAATTACTCATCTACGAATTATTTGCATCTTCAAAAGAACTTATGGCTTCTATGGCTGCATCTCTTTCCATGACGTTTTAAAGTTCCCACCATCTCCTCCTCCAGCAACAAGAACCTACCCTTCACCCTGAAAATGATCAATTCCAACTCACCTTCCGCTGGTCTATGCACGCAATCTGGGACATTGCTGTTTTCAGATTCTAAAAGAATAAAGAAAGCAAAAGGTCATTAAACACTCAGATTTATTGAGAAGTCACAAACTTTTAAATCTCAACAATACAGAATCAAACCCGAAGAGACTGTCCCAGCAGTTCCGTGCAGCAGAAATGCATATATATTTCCACCAAAAGACATGGACACAGATGTTCACAGCAGCACTATTTGCAACAGCCACCAACTAGAAATTACTCAAACGCCCATCCATAGTACAATGGATAAATAATTGTGGTAGAGTCACATAATAGAATCCCATACAATGAAACTGAATTTTCTACAACTACACACTTATACAGATGAATAGCACAAATATAATGCTGAGCAAGAGACATAAAAAAAGTACACTCTGTGCCACTCCTTTGACATAAAGTTCAAGAATAGGCAGAACTGATCTGCACCATTTGAAGTCAGGAGTCATTACTCCTGCTGGAGTAAGGGGCCTGGGGACAGGAGGACACAAGGGGACTTGTGAAACTTGCCATGTCTTGATCTGGGCACTAGTGCCTAGGGATGTACCAATTTGTGAAATTTCATTGAGTTGTACAGTTCTGTGCACTTTTCCATATGTATATTATACTTTACTAAAATCTTTTTAAAAATTAAGAATAGGAAACCAACCTGTGCTTTGTCAGTTCTCAACACAATAGGCTCTGTAGGTAAGACAGCCCCTTTCATTTATTTTTTCCTGATTCTCCTGTTTGAATGTATCCTTCCATCTTAACATCTCCCCTGGACCCACGAGTGGGGTCACTCCTCCCTACTCCCACCCCCATGACCAGAGGAAATAAACCTGAGAGGACAGTCCCCCCACTTACTTTGGTTCTCTGCCAAGACAGGCACCAACCCACACTTGCCGGCAATGTAGATATATCCTCCATCCAAGCTCAGGGCATCGGCTTCTCCTTTCTGCAAAAGCAAAGCAACTCACCAGCATCACAGTGAGGCTGTTTCCTGCCCCGCCTGTCTTTACAGTTCTTGGAGAGAATGGCTTTATGTCACATGTCCCAATGAAGCAGCAAAAAGAGGCAGGCGGTGTTTGAACTGAGCACCCAAAGGAAACACCATGTGCACTATTAATTGTCTACCAGCCCCACATGCCTTTCATGCAGTCACTTCCATTGGAAAGACCAGGTATAGTTTGCACCAACCCTCTGTCCTCTGAACAAAACCCTTTCTGGACTCCCAGCACCCCTGGGACACCCTCCTGGACCAGCCTCGCTCACTGGGAGGCAGATGGCAACAGCTGGCCTCCTTTAGTCTCCGCTTGTCAACACTACACTCAGTGCTGCACCGAGTTGTTCAACAAATGAGCAGAAATCATCAAATCGGCTCACCATCAGAATGCATGAGCCTGCACACCATCACTGGAACAGGGATTCATCAAGATTGCAAAACCCCCTCTTTGGCCCAGTAATAATTTTTTACAACTATAGTAAAAATAATTGGAGATGTGGAGGAAGATGCCTATTAAGGATGGGCATCACTGGGTTACCGATAATAAAATAAGGGGACATGAAAGATATCCTGAAATCATTTCTTAAAAAGTGTTTTCAAAGAATATGTATTAACTTGGGAAAATGGCCATGATATACTGTTATGTGAAAAGGACTCAAAAACCACCTAACTGCTGCGATCCAGTACTGTTGCGAGCCTATGCACAGATGTACTGAGAAATCACGATAATTGAGTGGGAAATTATCAGAACCTGAACCGTGGTGTCTCTCTGTGTGAGGCCACAAGTGGTTCTTATCTATTTATTTTTTTTCCTCGTACCTGTCTATATTTTTCAAATTACCTGCAATACTCATGAGTCGTTCTTATAAAGAGGAGTGGAAAGCCCCCAATAAACAGATTTTTAACAGAAAGCTGTGCCTGTTTGCACACTGTGCGCTGGCTGTGCGCAGCCCCTCCCCAGCAGTCCCCGCCTAACCCTCGGGCAGTGCCTCCCCGCTCCTGAGCCCGGGATCTGCGTCTTCCACGGAGCGCACCTCCCCACGCGCACGTGCCGCAGGCTCTCACCGCGCGGGGTCGCCACCTACCATGACCAGGGCGATGCAGTCCTCGCTGGTGGAGGCCGTGACGCAGGCCACGCTTTGGCCGCTCAGGTCGCTCCACCGCTTGCACTTGCTCTCCTCGTCAGGGCCCACGGCGCACCACACGACCCGAGCGCGCCGCGCCTCCACCTCCGCCGCCGCTGCGCAGAGGGACACAGCCGGTCGACAGGGGCCCGGAGCCTTTGGAGGGACACCCAGGCGCCCCCGACATCCCTGGAGCCCAGGCTCCACTCGGAGCACCCTTCCTACTAGGACCCTGGACGGGAGCTACTTCCTCCACTGGAAGAGTTGGCCACCTGCCCCTCTCCCCCTCCACTCTCAGCTCCCCCACCCTTTCTTCAGGCAGGCATAGCCCCCCCTTGTTTCTCATTTCGGTTCCTTTGGAGACTTCCCCTGGTTTCTAATCCACCCTTCAATCCTTAGTGTAATAATTTGCCTAATATCTCAGTCCTGTGGGATATAAGCTCCAGGACACAGTGGCAGCCCCAAGAAATGGCCTAGTGGACCTTGAGCTGGTCCCTGACCTCCCCTAAGGCCAGCAGTCACCACCATTAACTACAGTGCAGCCTCCTGGTTCACCCAGACTCTACCCCAAGCACCCCAGGATTGGAAGAGCCAAGGCTGAGCTGGCCCACTGCGGTATCCCCAGCCCAGTGCAGGCGGCCCAGGCACAGAAGCATGTTCTACCAGGCCTCTGGGGGTTCATCCCAGGAGGGGCCCTGGCTCTCTTGGTTCACGTTCATATTTCTCACTTCATAGGAGGCAAACTGATCTTCCTGTCAGGGCTGGAGAGCCTGAGGTACACAGGGACATATGGCAGCATTAATCCAGTGGCCGACACATTGGAGACACTCCCTCATGTTAAAATGCCCTGACTTGGTCGACAGAAGACACTCGCACCTACATCACACCTACCACGGGGAAGACCTCCAGTGGCTGGGAGTTGGAGAAGTGACCACTGCTAAGCAGGGCCACAATGCCCACAAGCGGGGTGGGAAGTGCTTCCTGGAGGGCCTCACCCGTGGCCCACCACCCGCACCAGCCCACCCTCAGGGCCTGCCTGGGCCTCACTCACTTTGCCTCAGGCTCTGAATGGCAGTGAGGTAGCCGGAGCCAAGGTACAGGCCAGAATCTATCTTCGAGGGGATCCTCAAAAACCCAACAGCAGCGTCCTTGAACAGCAGGTCCTTAGTCTCAGGAGGGGAGCCAAAGAGCTGGAACGCTGATGACTTGTTTTTTCCAAACCTGTCCTAATTAAGGAAAAATAGAATTATGATGTCAGTGGTAAATAGGGAGGAAACAAAAAAAAAAAACGATGTTGACAAAGAGTATCTGGAACTTAGGGATGATTCTGAGAGCTGGAACCCTGGTCGACTTCCTCCTGGAGAGGGACCCGTGCCATCCCTGTGACATGAGCTCAGCTATGGTTTCTTTAGAAAGTTGCTGGAGTCTAAGAACGTTAGAGTCCTGAGAATATTGCATCATACTCCCCCTGCTTCTGCTCCAGCCCACAAGACGCTGTCAGTCTGCAATGCTAGAAGGGGCTTCATTGTTTCTGCTGTCCAGGGTACAGCCTAGGCAAGCAGTCCACTGACTTTGTAACCATCTGTGCAGTGAGGCTACAGAAGGACGTCCAGAGTGGCAGGAAGTTAGGGAAAGAAGGAACCTCCCCTCTACCTAATCCAAGTAGGTCAAGAGGACTGTGGCTGGGGATACCTGTGCCTTGAAGAGAAGCTCCCAGATCAAGTCTTCCTTGCCATCCACACTTCGGGCCACAACAGCATGAGAAGGGACCCGGGCCAGGTGGCACCTCTCGAAGTCCTCCACTGGCTTCCGAGTATTGTCTGGACAGAGCAGCTCATACTCGTCCCTGTCAGCCTTGTCTGGCAGGTTTTCTGGGAGAAAGGTGGGGAGGTGGAGGGGAGCCCGGGTGAGCCAACTCCAGGCAGTAACCATGACCTGTAGTTCCCCTTGCCCCATAGAATTTGAGCTGGAGGAGACATCTTACACAGTTGATAGAGCTGGGGATCAGAAAGGCAGTGGATTTCTCCAGAACACTCAGAAAGATAAAGACAGTGTCCAGAGAGCCTTGGGGGCCAGCCCAGTGTTCCTCTGACTGGATCACACTGGCTGCACTGGGATTGTTGTGACTGCTACCTGGCAAGCCAAGGAGACTGAACCAACCCCATCTGTTTCCACGGCAATCCTGCCTAGAACAGGGCCACATGGTGGAGACAAGCCAGGGGCCTTACCATGTCTATAGAAAGAATAAAAATCACAACAATTTCAAGGCAAGAAATACAGTTGAGTCACTTTCCAACACTGGGTGTATCACAAGAAGGGAAAAGACTAATTTTATGAGTGAGTTCAGCCCAATTTGAAACTGTGCATCTATATCATATGTAAGTTGCTTCAGAATATATAAAGTGACAGAAACCTGCCCAAGTCATTTTATGAGATTAGTGCAATCTTGGTCTCAAAATCAGAGAAAGAAGTACAGGAGGGAAGAATTACAGGCTTATTTTACTTATGAACATAAAGATAAAAATCCCAAATAATGTATTAGGTAACTCAATCTAACAGAGTATTTAAAATATTAATAGATCAGGATTAAGGTTTATCAGTTTATTCCATTAACAAAAGAATGGTCAAATGTCAAAAAAGCTAGAGTAAGCCACAATATTAAGGGAGAAAAACTATGAGATCATCTTAATTTTAATAAGAAAAAGAAAAGTAGGAAAAGCATTTACATATTGAACATCTGTGATTTTCTTTTAGTTTCAGAAAACTAGTAATATAGAGAACTTGGTAAAGTTATTGAACTTGATAAATGACATTTATCAAAATATCTACAGCAAAATCATACTAAAAGAAGAAAATTTAAGCATTCCCTTCAAAATCAGGAACAAGGCAAGGATGCCAGCTATCACATTACCAACAAATACCAGGCAGCCTGAATTACACAATTTACAAAAGAAATAAGAGAAATAAACACTGGAAGGAAAAAGACAAACTCTATTTAAACATGATGTGATCATCTACATAGAAAAGCCAACAAAGCCGAGAAAGAACTAATAAAACTAAGAGAGTTCAGCAGGGTAACACTACAAAAATCAAGTGTTATCCTCATTAGCAATAACCAAGCGGAAACTAATACAGAATATAAGATAATATAATAGCAACTAAAATGAGTAAATAGCTGGTAATTAGCCTCACAAAAAATGCATGAGCTCAACAAAGAGAAAATTTTTAACTTCTCTTTAAGTTATAAAGGATATAAAAAAAGATGTGATCAAATGAAGGAGATTTATTATGACAATTTAACATTATAAATATGTCAGTTTTTCATGGATCAATTTAAATTCAAAACAATTCTAACTAAAATTAAAGTATGATGTTTTTAGAAATTCAACAAAACATTTCTAAAATTTTAGTTAAAAATTTTTGAAAATGAAGAGCAAAACGTAGGATGAGAAGGCTCGGTCTCTCTCTTGCTGTCTCTCTCTCTCCACCAGATATTAAGACTCACTACAAGCTAGGGTAATAAAAGCAGAAAAATACAAATACACCAACAAAACAAAATAGCTCAGAAACTGATCCATGGATATATACAAACTTGGTATAGGAGTGCCTCCACATATTAGTAGGAAAAAGGTTGAATTTTTTATCGTTGCTATTGTAAAGAAAATGGTCTCCCTATAAAGGGAAAATGCTTAGGCCAAAGCCACACCTAATTTCCGAGGTGGAGTACATACAAACAAATGTGTGCTGGGGAGGGTGGCCTTTAAATCTTATTGTAGGAACTCTTTATGATTTGGGAGTGAAGAGGACATCTTTAAAAAAAAACCCAAAAGCACAGACCAACAGGGCAAAACTGATGGATTTGACCCTGTCAACATCAAGGACTTTTGTTCAACAAAGTGTGCTACTGACAGATATTTTTGACTTAGAAAAGATCTTCCTAAATTCCAGAACCAACAATAACTTAATATCTGGATCCATGTGGTGAGACTGTCTCCAGTGACCCTAAGTGAATGTGGTGGGCCTGTCTCTGGTGGTCCTGGGAGAATGTGGTGGGCCTGTCTCCAGTGGTCCTGGGTGAATGTGGTGAGACTGTCTCCAGTGACCCTAAGTGAATGTGGTGG